ACTGTGGAATTTTTTGCTACTGATAAGCAAAAAGTTGACATCTTCACAAAAGCTTTGAGTAAAGATCACTTTGAAAGGAACAAGTTAGAATTAGAGATGATTAAGATCACCTAAAAGAAACCGGTTCTAACTCAACGATTTTTTAGATAATTTGTGAATTTTGTAAATAATCAGATTTTATATTGCTCAGTCTCATACTTTTATTAGTATACTCTTTTGTCGTGTGCTAAAATGTCTCACTAATGTCTAATGATATTACTCTTATTTTCTTGGAAAACATCAGTCTTACACAAGAGAACTTTCAGTAAAGAACCTAGTTCATCGGGCTTATAAGGTATGTATTCTACACTCCGCATAATTTGAAATAACTGCATATGGATCATAAACTGAAAATCATCTCACTTTGTCCCAAACTACTTTTGAACCAATTAGTTGCAAACGAACCGGTTTCACAAAGAGTCCCACACGCCATAATTGTCGAAATAATTGGGGAAGAGTGTAACGTTTTTTCAAACCGAAACTTCTATTGTGATTAGAGTTCTAGACTTCAAAACGGTGTCATATACACTCAACCTTTCCCTCTAGAAACCCTTCCTTACCATTCAAAGAACATTCACCTACACTTTTAACCACCTAAACCCCCAAGAAAAAAGCATATCAAAATGATTGCATGAAAAACAGTAGCAAGCAAAGAACAAGCCAAGAAATTGAATGGGAGGCTACAAGCTAGTCAAGCAGAAGAACCACAAAATTCTGATGATCTGGTCTGCGACTGAGGGGGAAGAACCAATTTCTTCTGAAACCGAACAGGTAACCTCTAAGTTTCCCACCACTAAGTTTTGTTATGAAATTACAGAAAATCTTGAGAATCAGTTTGTTTTGGTTGGGTCTATGGCTGGTATTGAAAAGGGAAATGTTGTTACTGAATACATTGGTGACAAAAGTGAAAAATAAAAATAAAAAGAGAGCGAGGGAGTTGAAATAGATGTGAGGGAAAAGGGAGAATAAAGAGTGGTTGGAGCTCCTTCACCCGCTCTTGTTGGTTTGGCTGAAAAAGGTGGAGCAATGATTGTATGGAGTGAAGAGATTAGCGATAATAAGGAGACTATAGATGAAAGTATGGGGATAGAATCACAAAAGATAGGTAATTGTTCTTGTGATAAAGTGCAACAAAGGGGCTGGATAGGTTAAAGAAACGGTTTCATGAACCAGTTCCTTCTCTTCCTAAAAATAGACAAGAGCCCCTACATGGTCTGATGTAAGAGGTGTTAGGTAGTTTTAATCCAAAGAAGAAGAGCAAAGTTAGAAAGACTCCAGGAAAGGGCATGGGTAGCACTAAGAGAAAGGCTGCTCCTTCTATCCCTATAGAAACTCTCCCATAAGAGGAAGAACTAAAAGGAGCAAAAAGAAGCGGAGTAAGGCCAATGTAAAAAGGCCTTAGCCGAAAGTGCCAAAAAAGTCTCTTCGAAAGGAAAAAAACTGGTAAGCCAAGTGGAGTAGTCCAAATTGAGGAGATGAACCTGATTCATGAGGATGAAGAAAGATGTTGAAGTACCCACACCTAGTGCCAAAAAGAGAGAGACTTCTCAAAAGAATTCTCAAGAAATAAAGGTTGTGGCATAGGTTCAGTTGTGACCAAAACAACCACGCCTACCAAAAGGAGCAAGAAGACTCAAATAGTGGAAGAAAATGGTTAAGGATGTTGAGATTGAACAATTGAAGACTAGGTTGGCTGAAGTAGACGCTGAGAGAGACTATCTCAAGTGTAAGATTGCAAAGTAAAAGGAGAAAACTAATGTTATTCCTTAAGATATGTTGAAACTGCTTCAAGCCAAGAATCAAGAACCTGGTCCTTCCCAGTCCTAAATTCTTCCTAGCCGAGTTGTAACTAGTGACCCAAGTGAGATTTCTCTATTTTTCGTTCATGGTTCTATGTTTTTGTTTCTTCTCATGCTTTGTGGTAGGATCTTATCAATCAATGAAATTCATTATTTTTTCTCTAATTATTTGTTGATAATTTTAAGATGGCTAATCTCCTTAGATTGATAAAGAGAAAATTGAATCCATGATTGCATTTGAAGTGGCCCCAGTGGCCGTGAGTGATATCTGCTAAAATCTGGCTACTTAACTCAATTAAGCAACTATTTGATGATGCCAAAAAGAGGAAGATAATGTGTGCTTTTGCTTTGGAATGTGATGTAAATAACCTAATGAACCTGGTCCTTTATGATTTGGGACTTTAAATAGAAAGCGTTCTAACATTGTGATTGATGTTGAGCTGAGCTAAAAGGGGTTCCAAGATTTTAAAAAGCACAAAATTTGTCATCATCAAAAAGGGGGAATTTTTTTACCAGAGCAGTTTTGGTTTGATGATTGACAAAAGAACAGATGCATGAACCAGGTCCATGGACAGTGTACACAGGTGACGGACAGATCAAGCAAAAGACATGCACGTGAAATGGATAAGTATAAGTGGTTATTTATGATAATCCCTGAAAGAAAAGGTTGCATATTTGATAAGGAGCATGACTCCTTACTTGAAGAGAACTCTATCCCAGATAAGGGAAGAGTTAGAAGTTGGAGTTGACTAGACTCTTCCACCAAGGAAGAGTAAAGCATTAGACTTCTAGTTAATCTTTATTTACTAACTCTATATATATCAGCTGTCTTCTCTTTTACAGGTGATGCACACATACTGAAGTTAAGCATGAATTGAGAGCAAAATAGCAACGCATTTTGTGAGCAATTCCTGTGAGATTTAAGAGTGCGATCCTGAAGCTACACGAACCAGATTGAAGAACTAGATCCATAAAGAATTTCATGTGTCTTTCTTTATTTCTAGTTCAAAGTGTAGTAGGCGTTTTGAGTTGTACTTTTCAGCTTTCTAAGAAGCAAATTTACTAGGTAGCTGAGTTGTATCTTTCAAGTTAGAGTTAACTTGAAGCAGTCGCAACAGCCTGTGGCTGATTGCTATAAGGGTTAGAGGTAATCCTTAGGTTTGCAAGAGTTTGTAAACTTTGTTGTTGGCTCAGAGTTGTAGTGAAGTGTTTGGAAAAAATCCTACTGGGTAGTAGGTCGTGGTTTTTTCACCTTTTGAGCTGGGTATTTTTCACGTAAAAATCCTTGTGTTCTTTACTTTCTGCATTATTTATTCCACAACTGTAATGTAAGGAACCCATAGAAGAACCAGGTCCTTCTATAATCTGTGCACGCAAAAAATTAGACACTACACAAATTAACCCCTTCTTGTGTGGTGTTGAAGTATAAACATAACTTTCTCATATAAAGTATTATTAAAATGTGTCAATCTCTTTGTCCTTTTATATTCATATGTCAAGATCTATTAAAGTCTTATATCTTTACGTTAAACAATGGGTACAAAATCGTGCTTGATTTGGCTTCTGCATTGCTGTATTTTCATGAAGAGTGGGAACAATGTGTTATACATAGAGATATAAAGTGTTATGAACTTCTCAAACAACACAATTACTAATAGGAATTATGAATTGATCTTTCATTAATGGAAACTCAGTACATAGAATTAAAGAATAAAAATATAGACTTTAACATAATAAGGATAGTAACAGAAAGAAAGGATAAGGGGGAAGGCAAAGTCACAGAAGAAATAGACGAGGGAGAGAGACCAGAGAGAGTGGAAGTTTCTAACAATATTCAACCTAGCGCACTATCATAGAACCGTGCTATTTAACTAACCAAACTCCATTTCGCATTTTGTTAAGCTAAGCCCATCAACCCGGGTCCCAAGTGTAACTTTCCAGCCCATGTAATGGTTTCTTCAATCCTTTTCTTTTGCTTAGTGGCTTTTCAAGCCTGCTAACGCCAATCCCAACTTGCCCGCTACTTTCATTTGGCCCAAGCCCAATATCATTCATGACATCAAGTCTAGCAATATCATGTTGGATTCAATTTTCAGCGCAAAATTAGGCGATTTCGGCCTAGTTAGACTAGTTAATCATTAGTCGGGTTCACAAACAACTGTTTTAGATTAGGTGTCTAAATTAAAAAAAAAAATGGCGAGTTTACATGGCCGTCTATGCATTCAGCCTAATTAATTACCAAGACCGTCTATGACTAGATTGAATGGTTGTAATGACTCTTAATTATCTATAATATATTTCCATTATACCCAAAAAAAACTCTTTTAAGCTTCGCGTATTCGCTAACTCGCTACAATAATAAAATATAAATCATCTGTACGAGAATTCATAAGTGAGCTTACTGGGTAAGCTCCATACCTTCCAGAGTTGAGGTAAAAGATTCAAATACTATCAGTAGCGTAACATTTACTTCCCTCTCCCCCTCTCACTCCGCCGATGTAATTAAAAAAAAACTCGATTTGTGATACCAAAAATTAATAATTTGGAATGAATGGAATCATTTTGACATCCAGTGATGAACTGGCAATATTTATTTTTTGTCCTGAAGTGCAGAGAAATAAGGAAACTAAATCTAATGAAGCAAAACAGAAAAGATTATTTACCAAAAAAAACCCAGAAAAGATCAGCATATTTATATTTACCCGTGTTTTACAAATTTCAATATTATAAAAAGCTTAAACTATAGGTATCGATATTAGCCAACTACAGTAAAGTAACCAGCCATCAACAGAGAGGTATGGGATTAACTTCTTCTATGTGTCTTTGTTTCTTTTTTTATTTCTTTTTCTATTGTTGTTTTTTAAGATACGTTCATATATGGTCACTAAATTTATTCACTATAACAGTAAAGTTATATGAATTTTCACGTATTTGGCCCAACGTTCTAGCCTACATGTTGAGCACTTGTATTGAGACAAAAAATAAAACAAATAAATGTTGTATTCTCAATTCACTTTCTTTATTGGAACATGATATATTAACACGTAAATCAAGTTTGTAAAACGATATTTCGATTTAATAGTACTATATCTAATAAATGATTCTATTTCAATTTTTTTAATTTAAATTGTATAGCAGATATTTTGTGTGAAAATACAGATAATGGGGAAGAATAAGCAACTAAGCTTACATATTTTGGAGGTTACTATGGTTGCTTTATTATTCTTGTTAGTGGCTGATTGTCGTCCTCAAAATGGGTTAGTCTCTGTTTCTTTTATTTAATTTTCTTTTATTTAAGTTAATAGCAAAAGTATTTTGCTATTAAAATTCAGCTTGTATTTTGACTTAGTTACTTCTTAAATTGTTGTTAAAACAGGCGAAGATTGACAATAATGCCAGATGTCAAATTGGAGATACAACCTAATGATGTAAATCTATGTTTAGCAAATATTTTTTTTTTTCTATTTTGTATTGTAATTATGTCATATTAATTCAATTGCATGAATTTTATTCACTACAATATTAAAGTCACAAAATTGTTTTTGCCAAATTAAAATAACTGAATTTTACCTATGATAACAGTGAAGTCACAAAACATTATATCCACTATAATAGTAAAGTCGCTTTGATAGGTAAGTTTTACCGTATTAATTATTTAATTTGATGACTTTACTGTTATAGTGGATATAATTTAATTACTTCAACCTGTCGATACCAACCTGCTCTGGATACGAGTAAGGGCTGACATGTTGATTGTGTCGTCACATGCTTTTTGATTCAGCCACCACCTCCCACGGCTACAACAAGCACAAGATAAAAAAGAAATCTGAACGGTCTATTTTCATACTTTTCACGATATGATAGCATTATAGTAACAAGAGCTTTACATCTCAGGTCGACAAATACTCTTTCAAAATGACAATATATATATAATAATGTGATTTTTACTATTATAATGAATAAAGCTTAGTAATCATAAATGAATTTAATCCTATAATGCATTGTGTTTTTAAACCTTTGTACATTATTTAGGTTCTCACATCGTTTTTCATGTCCTCTTCAGGTAACAATAAGCAATGGCTTCGTCAATGTTACTTTATCGAAACCAGATGGCCTTATAACAGGCATATCATATGGTGGTATCAATAACATATTAGACACTAACCTTGTCGAAACCGATAGAGGGTATACATATTATACATTGAATATACATGTGAATATACATCTGCTGACTATTTTTAATATAAGCAGTTTAGTGGACGGCTATTTAGGTTAATTCTTCAGATGTTTCAAGTTGCTTTAATGAAGAAAATAATTAAATGTAATACTAAATTATGATGATTTCAGGTATTGGATCTCTGTTTGGAATCTTACAGGACATGGAACAGCTCGAAAACAGTATTAATCTTTACCTTCTGGTCTAGAATTAATTAATTAACTTTGACGAAAAAATTACTACTAAAATTAAGTCCTAAAGCTATGATATTATGCAGGTTATCAGCAACAAGTTTTGAGATCATATCGAACAATGGAAACACGACAGAAATTTCATTTAAAAGAATTTGGAATTCTTCTCAAACTGATGAACCTCCCCTAGACTTTGACAGAAGGTGATGTGTTTTGCACTATATTATTATAATTTATCATATCGTAACATGTAACATATCTTATTTTTCGGGTTGCTAATTTCACTTAGACAACTAACGTAAATATTCTTTTACATTGTTAGTGTATAGAGACGTTATATCATGCTAATATTTTGAGAGACCAATTTTTCAGGATTGTCATGGGACGCGACACTCCAGGATTTTATACTTATGCTATGGTTGAACGTTCAAAAGAATATCCCCCTACGATTATCCAACAACTCAATGTTGTGTTCAAGCTTCAAGACATGTATTTTATCTTAAATTTCTCATTATTAACGAAAAACACATTTTAAATTCTATCCCAATTCCAAAAGTTGGATGTGTATATATATATATATATATATATATATATATATATTGAAATTGCATATTTATGAATAGGTTTCATTACATGGCTGTCTCGGATGAGAGGCAACGTGTCATGCCAACGCAAGAGGATCGAGAAAAAGGAAAGGTGCTTGGCTTTAAAGAAGCTGTTCTACTTACAAATCCAGCCAATCCAGATCTAAAAGGAGAGGTATATTTGTTTTACATTCGGTTTCTAGTATCTGCATCAGGGTTTGACTAAATGCGAATTCTTGTTGGAAAGTCCAGAATAGGGGATAAAGTGCTCCATAAGAAAAGTAACTCTATACAAGGCTCGGAACTCGAGACCTCTAGTTGGATAACTAAAGGTTAACATGGGCCACCTATGTAGATGGGGCTAGAATGGGCATTGGGAGGTTGGAAGACAAACTGTAACAGTCTACGAACCGCTGGCGGTTGAATTCGAAAAGAGTACTTTGTGAAACTTGGCTAAAGACAAGTCCTACATCAGAATGGGAGGAGAAAGTTAGGGACTATATATAAGGGCGAGTTCAGAATTCAATTGTTACTAACGCATTCTAGATAGCAAGCCAAGTATACAAAACTGGAGATCCAAAAGCCTTTAGGTGGCTAGAGAGATCGGACCAAAGCAAACAATACCTTAACAGTTAGACATGACCATGGCAAAAGCTCATTGTTTCGATGCTCGTTACCTAAAGAGGGTGGTATAGCAACAAAACTATAAAATTAGCATACAAATTTTAAACTTAATTATTAGATAATTCGAGAAGATTAATCTAGGGAAAGCATTATTTATATATATACATATAGTTGGATCTTGGATTTGAACTTTATGGTTACGTTTCAAGCCCGTGATATTACAACACCTCATTTAATTTATTGAGTTCTAAATCTATTTTATGCAGGTGGATGACAAGTACTTCTACGCAAATGATAACATAAACGATAAAGTTCATGGATGGGTATGTAGTAATCCTCCAGTAGGATTTTGGATGATTAATCCAAGCAATGAATTTCGTACTGGAGGACCTTTTAAACAAGACCTTACTTCACATGTTGGTCCAACTGTACTTAGTGTAAGTGATGAATTAATTACTCAGTTAAATTTTATAATTAATGTGTCACATGTTGCTAAATTTCTTTTATTTCTAACTGTAGAAATCTTAACTATATATTTTATTATACATAATTGCAGGTATTTTTTAGTACACATTATGCAGGAGAAGATTTAGCAATTAAATTTCAACATGGAGAATCATGGAAAAAAGTCGTTGGCCCTGTGTTTGTGTATCTTAACTCTGATGCTTCAGCTAAGGAAAATCCGTCTGTACTGTGGAATGATGCGAAGAAAAGAGTATGTATTAATTTATGCGGCAAATATATATATGCTCGACTGAAGTATTTGACTCTTATACCGTCAAACATCTCTATAACAGTCTCGTTAGTTCTGATATTTGTTTTATTGCTATAGTGAAGTGCTGCTATAAAAACATATATTATAACATAACATAAAAATCGGTTCCAAAAAGCCTTGGCTTTTATAGTGAATGATTGTTATATATGGATGTTGTTATAGAGGTGTGTGACTATACTTCGAACCTTGCCACGAGGTAAAATGAAACAAAGGGAGTAAAAATTTTGGCATTATTTTTCTGACGAATGATCAAATTCACAGATGAATCAAGAAGTTGCAAGTTGGCCTTATGAATTTCCACTTTCACAAGACTACATCAAATCTAACCAAAGAGGAACAGTTACAGGCCAACTCTTTGTTAATGACTGGTACTTTTCTTCAGTATTCTTTCTCTAATATTTGCGATGTTGCGTGGACTCTACGAAATGCTGCATCATTCGTGTCGGATCCTCCAATAATATACTACTTTTGGAAGATTTGACATGCACTCGACGGTATTTTCGAATAGTCCGAGCAACATAGTCTGCAACCATGTTATATATGTATCACTATGTAAAGAGAGTATTTTTAAGAGTTTAAGTTATATATATCGTTATTGTAAGAATTCTTATACCATCATGTCACTTTTACTTGTTTTAGTAGGTAACTTGTCTTATTGACTGACTGACTAATATTATTTCCTTTTTTTGAAAGGTTTACTAATAAAAGAGATGTACCTGCATCCAATGCATATATAGGGTTAGCGCCACCTGGAGATGCTGGATCATGGCAAATAGAAAATAAAGTAAAGTGTAAAATAATTAATATATATTTTTCAGGTGTTTAATTGTATGTGGCAAGCTTTTTAAAACTTTAATTTCCTAAGTCTTTCATTACACTTCTTTGCTTTTTTTTCCTGAAATTCTTTTGATAAAATTCATAAAAATCTTTTGTTTATGTATTTTATTTTATTTTTAATTTTCAGGGTTACCAGTTTTGGACTAAAACTGACTCTAATGGAAATTTCATCATAAAAAATGTCATATCTGGTACATATAACTTGTATGCAACAGTCCCAGGATTTATTGGAGATTACAAATACGCTCCAATTGTTAAAGTTACTCCAGGTAATTACTTTCTTACTTACTCACTCATTTGTTAAAGTTACAAATTTTAAACTCCAATCAAATATCGCCGTATAAATTGAGACGGGATATCTAATCCTTTTTTTTTTTGGTATTTCATTTGTACCAAAATACAGGTTCTAGTATTAAATTAGGGAGTTTGGTGTATAAACCTCCAAGAAATGGAGCCACACTTTGGGAAATTGGAGTGCCAGATCGCACAGCTGCTGAATTCTTTATTCCAAATCCACCTCCACAATATAAAGTTCACAAATATCAAAACAACTCTGAATCAATGTAAGTTCCACATATTTGTTTTCCTGCTTAATTTTACTCACTATAATAGAAAAGCTGGAGATTTTTGCTACTATAACAGTGAAATCAAAATGAATAGATTTTTATTGTTGTAATAGTGAATAGAATTTAGTGATTTTGCTGTTATAGTGGAAAATTTTGTGACTTTACTATGACAAAAAAGTAATCATTTGACTTTATTATAATAGTGAATAAAGTTTCGTGACTTTACTGCTATAATAGGTAAAGTTCAGTTGGAAAATATTTTTCAAAATGTTTAAGCCAATCAAATATGGAAAATAAAATTATAATTTTTAAAAAATATTTTTCTCCGTACTAAACACACCCTTTGCGCATGTTATTTTTCTAAATCTAATGGTTCAAATTTTAACTCATTTAGCCCATTTTGGTTTTTGTAGATTTAAACAATATGGTCTATGGGAACAATACAGTTTTTTATATCCTAAACGAGATCTCGTCTACAATGTCGCCACTAGCAAGTATTCAAGAGATTGGTTTTTCGCTCATGTCACAAGGTATGTTATTATAGACTAATTACAGATTCATCCAAGCATAGTAGATTTGGCTCGGACCATGTATATAAATATTAAAAAATTCACTAAATAGGTACATGTCACAAGGTATGTTATTATAGCTTCATATAAATGTATTTATTTATATATGTATATATATTAGGGGCCGATGCAGTTAAAGAATAACAGGTGCGGATACATATATTAGGGGCCGATGCAGTTAAAGACTAACAGGTTCATCCGAACCTAGTAGCTTTGGCTCGAACCATGTATATAATATTAAAAAATTTACTAAACAAGTACAACAGTTCAACCCAGTAAACCAGAGTTGGGGTAGAATTCCGAACTCGAACACAATGTTCAAATTACAACAAGAATCCCACAAGTGGAGTCTAGGGAGGGTAATGTGTACGGGGACCTAACCCTCAGAGGCTGAGTGAGAATTTAAAGATTATGGGTTCAGGATTCTAGTTCTTTTAACTTACTAGATTCTAACTTAATAATTTGTGCATATTCAGTGAATTTCTTAAGATACATATAAGGTTTGTATCAAAGCTATTGGGTACGGCCGAACCCATAGTCGAAGGGCTGGCTCCGCCTCTGTTACCCCTACCTTGTGAAGGATAGAGAGGCTGTTTCTGACAAACAATATTCAAATTCTGATAACAATATATTGTAGCTGTTGGATGAATTCTTTTGCAGGAATGTAGGAAACAACAAATATGAAGCTACAACATGGAGTATTTTATTTAGCCTTGGAAATGTTAACAAGGCCTCAAATTACACTCTCCAATTAGCTCTTGCAGCAGCTCATGAATCTGAACTCCATGTAACTAATCTCTCCCTTATAATTTAATTACTTGACTTATTATTTCAACAACACACACACAAATATCTTTCTACCTTTTATTGTCACAATATATGAGCTAATCTACGAAAGAGGAAGTCTGATGCATGAAGCATCCCCTGTTCACGAATTTTTATTTAATTATTCAATCGATAATTGACATATATGAAATTCATTTTTATTTTTTTTCCTCTCTTAAGGTTCGTGTCAACGATGAAAAAGCGCGAGAACCTGTATTTACAACAGGATTAATAGGGGGAAGTAATGCAATTGCAAGACATGGTATACATGGATTATATTGGCTTTACAGCATTGGAATACAAGGCAATTTGCTTGTTAAAGGACCAAACACAATTTTTCTTACTCAAACAAATGCTGATCTCACTGCCTTTAATGGAGTCTTGTATGATTATCTTCGTTTAGAAGGACCTCATTAGGAATAAAATGGTCATTCTAGTCGTTCATTTTTTTCATGTTTTGGTTATGCGTGGTGTTTTTAGACGCGAAAATTTTGTGATTGAGTTTTTTATTTTTTTTATTGATCTTAGTGAAATTAAATTTAATGAATTGTCTATTAGGAGTTGAGTTATAAGAAACGTTGGTCTTGTACTTTTTTTGGCTCATGAGAATCTAAATTCTTGTTTAGTAATCTGAAAACAATAGTAACAAAATGGAATAATTTTCCTTACTGCATGTGGAAACAATAGTGACTACCTCTTATAAATATAGGAGAGATTAAAAGTAATTTAATTCTTGATACTGTATGGGTTAAATCTGACTAAGGGAACCTGGCACGAGGAAAAATTACTAAGAGGCGATTAGGCCGGGGTCGAATGAAAGATTAATGGAATTCACTGCCGAGCTGTTGGTTATGGACGAGGTCAAATGTTTAAGTCAACAGTAACGGCTAGTTTTGTAATAAGATATTTGGGAGAATATTCCATTGGATATTCTCTGTATCTGTACTTTAGGTTAGATTAAAGGCATGTCCCATATAAATAGAAAGGTAGAGAGAAGGTGAGGAGCATGTAATATTCTATATGATAAGAACTCTCTTGAAATGTTGACTCTCTAGTAAAATACAAACATTGCCTTTCCAAAAAGAGATTCGATTTGTTGTTTATTCTATATTTCTCACATCAAATCCATGAAAGTCTCCAATATTTCCATAGTTATTTGTCTTACATCATTGTCAGAAAGAGTCATCATCCACCTCATTCAATATTGGTTGAATTATTCTCTATTTACATTTAGTGTCATTTATTGTATTTATTGCTTATCATTATTCTCGTACCATTAATAATCGTAACATTCAATGGCGTACGCACGATATTTTGTAAGCGGTGTCACATTTTTTTATAAGTAAAAAAAAGGTGAACAAATAAATAAATTACTATAATAATGTCATATCAAAACACACACAATTTAAAATAATACTACAAGTCTTAGTTACAAGTATTTTATTTTTAAAATATATTCATATAATAACCTCATTAAAAACAATGCACTAAATATGTCTTAGTTTACATAGTTTGATAATATTTATTGTTAGTTTGACAAAGAAATTAGTTTTAGCTCAAGTGGTTTTATAGCTTACATTACTTGTTAGAGGTCAATGTTTTAAAACATAATAATCTTTTAATAAAGAAACTCTCCAAATTGATAAAATTGTGAGCCTGCTGTGAACCAGATTCGAACATTGGACCTCTATTAAAAAAAAATAGTGCTAAACCAGCAAATCACCTTAGCGTTTTCGCATCAAAGTGAAACTCTCCAAATTAGGGGTGTGCATTCGATTTATCGATTCGATTTTGACCCTTATCGATTATCGATTTGTACGTATGCTTATCGTTATCGTTTCAATAAGGTTTCGATTTTTTAGATTTCGATTTATCGATTTTGGGGGCTTATCGATTCGGTTATCGATTACACCAATAAGAAAACTTGCGGGATTCCACGGAAAGTATATCGCTATAAACGCGTCTAACTAATATGGACAAAAAGAAGCAAATAAGACGAACACCATTTATAATATAAAAATTGTGTCAACAAGCACATGCAACAAAATTAAAGTAAGGGATTAAATGTATGTCACCAACACTCCAACGGTATAAAAAAAACAAAACAAAACAAAACACATCATCACGGCTAATTTTGTTTTCCATTAATTTGAACTTCATTCCCTTGATCTTTAAATATGATCATTCCTTAAATGTGGTAGAAGAAATAATAGGGTAAGGGACTTAGGATAAAGGAAAGGGTATAGATTAGGGAAAATAATATTGTATAGCCGCTTTCAAAATAGTAGCGGAATATATATACATTCTGTATGTTATATTAATCTACACAAATAGGTAATTACTCATTTAACAAGTGTCTACGGTCTACGGGTGTGCATTCGATTTATCGATTCGATTTTGACCCTTAGCGATAATTACTTATCGATTATCGATTTGTACATATGCTTACCGTTATCGTTTCAATAAGGTTTCGATTTTTTCGATTTCGATTTCGATAACAAATAATCGATTCGATTTATCGATAAACCGATTCGAATGCACAGCCCTACTCCAAATTGATAAAATTGTGAGCCTGCTGTGAACCAGATTCGAACATTGGACCTCTATTAAAAAAAAATAGTGCTAAACCAGCAAATCACCTTAGCGTTTTCGCATCAAAGTGGTGTCATTTATTTATTTGTATTCAAAATAACTTGATTTTGCTTATACTATACACACATACTTGGTAAAATCTTCCGACGAAGCGGTGTCACGTGACACCGCTTCCCATAAGGTGGCTCCGCCCCTGGTAACATTTAATGTGTATTGCATTAAATCCATTCTAACGTGGTCCCACGTTATCCGCATAAACCCATCTTAGATCCAAGGTTATTATCTTTAACTAGGATTAGCCCCATATCTTTTTACTTAATTAGTTTAACAAAAAGTTTTATACTTTTCGGTCAAACAATTTGGCGCCATCTGTGGGGATTTTCTAGTTAAAATTTTAGTTTCCTCTAGATCTATAACAGAAAAAAAATGCAAAAACACTACACTTCCTTGTGCACACAAATCTAACATGGCAGATAATAAAGAGGAAAAGAGAAAAGCAATAGTCGACCTCACCGCTAATCTCCTTAACACCATCAACAAAGTCGATGAAACGGAGGGTGAGGACGTAACACCAAATACTACTTCCAGGCGAAATGGCTCGCCCCCTCCTCATGGCAGCGTCACAGCATCCGCGGTAAAGAAGCCTCCACGTCAATAACGAAAGAGGCACCACCAGCGGTGAAAGCTACTCGAGGCTTGGTTAACGAATAGGTTGACCGGCATCCTCGACACACCAACCCATAAAGTAACCGGAGAGGGCACGAGGACCTGCGCTGAGCCAACAATAGTTGAATAGCACGGCCCCCCTCCACTCAAAGCAGGTACTACTCACAATGTTAATGATGCAGGTAAGGACGCCCTCACTGGCCAAAGGAAAATGGAAGAAATAGAAAACGAAAACAAAATACTCCGAGACCAAATGAAAGAACATCAAGAACGGGTAAAAAAAATATCTGGCGCCCCAAAACTCTTACCAAAAAGGGGCGCCGGTCAGTTTGTTGAGCAGCCATATAGCGACGATGCTGCACCACACGCAATACCCAAAACCTTCAAAATGCTGCCATACCTGAAAATATATGACGGTACGACGGATCTTGAGGATCATGAGACCCACTACGTCACCGCAACAAAAGGCAGTGACCTCGCCAAAGAGCAAGTACCCTCCATCTTATTGAAAAAGTTCGGCGAAACCCTCATCGGGAAGCGTTAACTTGATATTCGTAGCTGCCCGTATGCTCGATTAAAACATTCGAGGAGATGGCTGACAAGTTCGTAACAGCCCATGCCGGATCAAAAAAAATGGAGGCAAGAGTAAATGACATATTTTCCATCAAACAATCATCTAGAGAGGGACTAAGGGACTTCCTTGCTCGATTTAACCGAGTAAGGATGAACTTACCAAACGTATCGGAAGGAATGACCGTGGCATCTTTCCAAAACAGGTTGAACATAAGCGGTTCAAGAGCGACCAAAAAGCTACTATCATGAAATACCCCCCGACCACTTGGGACGAAATACACAATGCTTATTGCACCGAAGTTTGAGCTGACGAAGACGATCTAAATGAGCCGACCCATCGGTTGACTTCAGTACAAGCCAAGTCTAGAAAGGACCGGAGAAATGACAACATGAGAGACCTAGAAGGACCCCGACCTAATTGGGAAAGACATCAACCTTACGTCAGAGGCACCCTCATGCCACCTCCCCTTCACGACGAAGCTCCATCTAGGCCGCAAACAGGGACTCACCGAAGTGAGAGAGGTATGCCCTCTTTATTATCTTCTCACAATTTCTATATTTCCCCTCAGAAATAGTCTACGCACCGGAGAAGCTCGGCCCAAAAATGAAGTGGTCGCAGAAGATGAGGTCCGACCCGAGCATTAGAAAGTCAAATGCCCTCTGCGAGTTCCACCAGGAGCGAGGTCACAAAACAAAACCGAAGACTGTATTGCCCTAAGACAAGAGGTCATGAACATGCTTCACCAAGGGCACTTGAAAGAGCTTATGAGCGACCAAGGAAGAGCCAACTTTTCCCGAGGACGTGAACAGCACCAGGGACCACCCAAACCACCTTACCCAACTCGAACCATTCAAATGATCATCAAAGGAGGAGATGACGCCTCAATCAACAGCGTGAAGTTCACCACCATCCACAAACCCAAGCGCTTGATCACTCACGAATGGTAAGACGAACTCGAAGAAAGTATCATCATCGACAAGTCTAATACCAATGGTTTGGTCTTCCCTCACTATGATTATCTTGTTATCACTTTACTCCTATAGATACAGATGTAAGACGAATTACGGTGGACGATGGGAGCGGCGCATGCATTATTCACCCTCGAGTACTTGCACATATGAGACTCGAGGATAAGATAGTGTCACGTTGCATCACACTAACCGGTTTTAACAATGTAGTTGAGCGAACCTTTGGAGAAATCACCCTCCCCATCCTGGCTGGTGGAATCACCCTGGAAACAACATTCCACATCATGGACCAGGACACAGCGTATAACGCCATATTAGGTCGGCCTTTGATACATGCCATGAAGGTTATCCCCTCCAGCTTGTACCACATCATCAAATTTCCCACCTCATGGGGAATACACATCATTCGAGAAGAACAACACACTTCTCGGGAATGCTATCACATCGCCCAGGATTGCACGTACACCCAGCAGATGAAGGATAAAGCTAAAGAAGCATAGCAATCAACAGGGTCGAGGTCGAGCGGTGACGAGAAGGATGTGATCAAAGACCCCGAAGTCATAGAAGCCACAGGGTCAATCGTAGAAGACCTCGACCCCATCCTACTCGATGATAAC